GCTGTTGCTCAGAGCTCAAACTCTTGAGCGAGCTCTTAACCAACTGAGCCACTCAGCCGGCCCGACACCTTGCTTTTTTGACCGCTGCTTCTTCCTTTTTGAGCCGTTAGAGCCTCACCTTTGTGCGTGGCCTGTTCCAAGCTCTTTGGAATGTAATTTCTCCTCTAATAATGGGCCCTTGAGCCATTCTCAACTGCTCAGGCCTACTTCTACTCTTTGAAATGTACTATCTCTTCGAATAAACTACTTTTTCAGTACTTTACTCTGGCATCTCGTTCAATTTTTTGCTCAAGTTGCCAAGGACCTGGACTCTGCGCCAAGAAGGGCCCACTTTCCGACAACAGAATCAACCCTGTTGACACCTTGGTTTTAGACTTCTGGCCTTCAGAACTATGAGAATACATTTCTGTTGTTTTAAGCCACCTAGTATGTGGTAGTTTATTACAGCATCCCTAAGAAACTAATACAGCCCTTATTCCTCACCATCGTCTCAGGCCCCCAAAGTTATCATTAAATAAATAATTTTTATATTCATAAAAAACCAGATTTTTATCATTGGCACTTACTATATGGAGAGAAAAATATCCACAAAGGTATGCTAAAGAGCTAGTTTTTTAGATGGTCATAACAATTCTAAATATGAACTGATTTGATTGAAATAGCTTAAATTGTCAATTATTTAACTTTGTATTGACTGTTTAATGTCAGTTCTCCTCAAATCTCTAATTAATCAACTAATTAATGCTGATTAGTGTTAGTTCATTTAGTTCGTTAATATATGTTTCCTAAGATCAAACACACTCTCCGTTGGTCTGCCTGGGAGAAGAGAGCTAAGAAGAAAGCCTTAAAGTCTGTCAAGTATCTGCATTATTAAAAATCCCAGTGTCTAAGAATCTATCTCATTGGAATTGTTCACTTACTTAATAATTATTAAAGGGAAGCTTGAAACAATAAACTGCTAATAACTATTCAACATAATAAACACAATTAGTTCTGTTTTTTAAAAATTTTATTGGGGAACAGTGTGTTTTTCCAGGACCCGTCAGCTCCAAGTCAAGTAGTTATTTCAGTCTAGTTGTGGAGGGTGCAACTGTGGCCCATGTGGGGATCGAACCAGCAACCTTGGTTTTATGAGCACTGCTCTCTAACCCACTGAGCTAACCAACCGCCCCAGTTCAGTTTTTGATCATGTATCTTCTCAGGCTCAGTCTACATTTTGATTTTTGGGTGCTGGGCACCTCTCTGGTTTGAGGCTTCAAAGCAGACCACAATGGTGTGTTACACTTTTCTAAAGACTTCATCTTTTTTGCTTTTGTTAGATTAGGAACTCTAAATATTAAATATAGATTATACTATATTTAAGCATTTGTGGGTACAAAGTCTCCTAAATTTCAGAGGGTTTAAATTTTGCTGTGCATCCTAATTTAAAAATATATTTAAAATTTATGTATCCAATCATAGAACAACCTGAAATGACAACTTGCATATATGTGAGAGTTACTGTCTGCAATGGGGTTTGGAGGTGGAGGAAGCCAGAGGAAGGAGCAAATATCAAAATGGACAAAGCCCTCACAACCTAGGAGGGAATATAACATCTTTGCAAACATTTCAGTGTCTAAGATTCAGAAGCAACTAACGTACAATTTTTGGAACTTAATCCGATTTTCTTTGGAGACTCCTATGAATACATTGTAATTACTATGAAAAAGTTTAAGGCCTAAAACAGAACCTTCCAAATGATAAATGTTTTCATCTGGAGCAATGGTACCCAAATTATGTTAGACAAATGAGCAGAATGAATTTAAAAATATCACCAAATGCTTATTATTTAACAGAAAAAGTGAAAAGTTGTGTGTCCTCTTTGGATTTGTTCTTGTATTATAATCATAAGCAAGTCAAATTAAATAACCCATTGAGCATTTATTTAAGCCAGTGTTTCTTGATCTTACAACTACTGAAGTTTGGGGCTGGATAAATCTGTGTTGCAAAGGGCTGTCCTGTGTAATGTAGTGTGTTTAGCAGCATCCCTGGCCCCTGTTAATGCCTCTCCTTTTCAGTTGTGACTGAAACAGGGCCCAGTTGGGTTCCCCAGAAAGGAGGCCTTGCAATGTCCCTGGCCTCATGCCTCCCTGCCCTAGAGCTTAACAATTGATCAACCCCTTCCCTGGAATGTCCCCTGTCCCAGTTCTTGAGTTTGGAATATCCCCTGCCCAGTTCCTTGCTTTAGATAATTACCCCGAAACTTGTACTTGCTTACTGATCACGATACCCCTTGCTTATGATCACAATACCCCATGCTCACTGATCACAATCTCTATGGCCTAGCATTCTTTCCGGGTTACCGTCATCATTGCTCCTGGGTTGATAAACACATTGGAGAGCCACATCACCAGAGGGGAGGCTCCATGCAGACCCCCCAGAACCATTATGTGGCCTTTGGAGGAATGTCCAGATTTTCCCTTAAATATCCCAGGCAGGTCTGAGAATGTTAAGGCAGTTTTTGGAGGTGTTAACCCTCTGCCTTCTCAGACCACCGGTGTTCTGATAATAAACGCGTATTCTATGACCCAACTCCTGTGTCGGTCTATTGGCTGAGCGGAGCAGGCAAAAAACGAGCCCCGGACTCCTTTCGCCTCAGGTTTCATGACTATCAAAATATCTCTATACACCTTGGGACAAAATTGTCCTCAGCTGGAACCACTGATTTTTAAGCCTTGAAAGAGAAAAGAAGCAAATACACATAACATACCCCTTCCCCGCACCCCCACATATCCCACAAGTGTTTTAAAAGAAGAGCCTATTTTTGCCCCCCAGTTTTATTGAGATATAATTGACATAAAGCATTGTATATGTTTGTTATATAGCATGATTTGACTTACATACACAGGTTGCCAAAAAAATGTATACACATTTTAAGAAAGGAAAAAATTATTAAAATTGTAATACTGAATATATACTGATAACAAAAGATGAATAGAAGTCACATTTTGACTTCAGCAATTACAAGAGTTGCTCAAACTGGTTACCATCAATGTCCATACACTTCTGATTACGGCAAACTACTGCTTGAGCAATGTTGACCATCTCTTAAAATGTGTATATATATATTTTGGCACCCCTGGTATATTGTGAAAGGAGCTTAGTTTTAATCCTTATCAATTACTCCTGACGCATTGTGTTTGCAGCATCTTGAACCTGTCCCTGTGGTTGCACTTATCATGGTTCATTATCATTTTAAAAGGTGGCTGTGTCCTTTCCTGTTTGTGAACTCTTCCAGGACAGGGACAGGGTTTTACCTTGTCTGGATGTCAGTGAGAGTCCATTAGTTGAATGTCCTCTTGTGCTGGTTCAACACAAGAAATGTTCTCAAAGTAAGGGCTTCTCTGCAGTTTCTTTCTTTTTAAGAATATGAAATATCTGTTTTGCCTTATGTCTTTTAGATTCATAGTTCTTCATTTTAAAGTAAAAAGCAGTGACTATACTGACACTTCACGATGATTCAGCTTTGGGTAAATGAGCCATTTTACACCCTTTTATTCCTCCCACTTTTAATCAGAAGACACCTGCAGACTTAATAGAACTATGTGCAAAGAACAACTAGGTCATTATGTTTTGCAGTCCTTTAATAGTTTTGCTGAAATCAGCCTAGGCCAGGTCAGGACACTTAACATCCACCAAGGACGCTCTCCAGCCGCTGGGTGTAAGTACTAACATTAGCTCACGGCTTCGGTCCAGCCATTGGGAGACCAGCACGCACATGTGCGTTAATTTTTGGGCCTTGAACGTTTCCGAGGAACTTAACTCCACCTCTCCCGCAAAAATGGAAAAACTACGCCCCCATTCCCTCCCTTCACCACCCCGTGCCTTTCTTCCCACTTTCTTTTTGGAGCTCTCCTGTTACAGAAATTCTGATTTTTCCTAGAGAGCTAGAGGAAAGTCAGGTACCAAGAGTGGAGCTATATTCTTCTCTTATTTGATCTGGCGGGATACAGGAGAAGAAATCACACCTTGTAACTGCCTCTCCAGGGGAAGAGATCAAATGCACCCTTGAAAACTTCAGGGCCCGCGTTTGGCTCCAGGTTTGATTGACAAGGACGGGCCCAGAGAAAGCGCGGAGGCGGGGCGGGGGCCGCGGGTCGAGCCCGAGACAAAGAGGCTTTGGCTGCCTCAGGGGAGAGGGAAGGGCCCCTTAGGTTAACTGGCCTTGGCGCTCTAAGGGGGCTTTTCGTGAGGCCGCCTTGCAGTACTGTGAGAGGGCGGGCAGGCGGGCGGGCGGAGGGGGCCGAGGGGGAAGAAGGGCCTGGCAGGGAGGGGGCTCGGGGCCGAGGTGGGGGCTGCGTCGCCGTCACGTGGCCGCTGCTGCCGGGTTGGGGCTGTTCTTCCGGGTTGGAGGCGCAGTGCCGCGGGGCCCGAACCCCGGTCTGCCAGCGCGGTGTCCCCTAGCTGCCCCTTGCGCACCGCCCACTGCAGCCCGGCCTCCCCGCCAAGGTGAGCGTGGCGGCGCCGGCGCAAGGGCAGGCTGGGGCGCCGCGGGGAAGGGGCGCAGGGCTCGGGGCGACATTCCAGGCCCCCGCCGGGAAGAAGACCTGTCAAGGAGAAGGGGGCGGGGTCGGCAGGGACCTGGAGCGGGGTCCTTTCTTGTCTTTTGCTGGGGCATCGTGGAAAGGAGTAGGCGCGTGGATTCAGGGACTGGGTCTCTGCAGAGAGCGGGAACGAGGCGGCAGCTGTGCAGGTACAGGTCTTGGAGGTTTGGAGGCGTAGGCGGCAGCGGAACGGGGTTACTTTGGCCTGCAAGATGGGGGGAAGGAGGGAGGTCGTAGAGGACTCTCGATAGGGGGTGCATCCAGAGAGGTGGCGGCGGGACGCCCCGAAGTTATGCTTGAACCGTGAGGGGATTTGGGGTGAGGAACTGGCTGGAGTCCTAGGAGGTGGCGAACGAAAGTTGTGAGTGTATGTCGGGCCAGGTTGGTGGTGGTGGTCCCGGCAAGCTTCTGGGGGGGCCGGGGCTGGCGAGGGGGAGGAGACGGCGGAGTGGCAGGAGGAGGATTCGAACTTTGGAAGCGGAATTACTATTATGCAGCCTCCGCCAATAGGCTTCGGGGGAAGGTTATAAATAGCGGTTCCGGGCAGATGCCAGCTGATGGCAGTTGAGTTGCAGAGGTAGGAGCGGTGCCGGTGGGTTTGGGCAAGGTCACGCTGCCTGCCAGCCTAAGCTTCTGTAGGGTATTGCGTCCTTGGTTGGTATGTCTGTCTTTAAAGGCTTGACTTGTTTACGGTTGCAGGCTGTCCTTTATTTGCCCTGTGATGCAGGGCAGCCCTTAAGCGACCCGTTTTTAAGGAGTCTTGTAGGACAGGCTCTATTGGAAAGGTGAGGCTTGCTTGCCTACTTTTATTTAAAATGCTCCCCCTCTTCTCTATCGCGCCCCTTTTACTTGAAAACTTTGGCTGTTTTTTTAATTGAATGGACAGTTTACGATTACTTTCTTATCAGCAAGTGTGCCCAGCTGCTTACCTTTGCTGATGGAATTACTGATAGTTTTCCACAAGGCTACACAGCATTTCATTTTTAAAGGAAATTGCCTGAAACTCCTTGGAGAAGGTGTTGCATGGATACCCAGGCTTCAGGTTACCTAGCCCTAGTTATTCATTCCTTCAGTCAAAAAAACTTGTTGATTTCCTCTATTTTGTGCAAAGCACTGGGTCAGAGGTAATACCAAAGAGAAAAGTAATAGGAGTAAAGATATTGTATACTTTTAATCCTCACAACAATCCTGTAAGGTAGGTGCTATTATTATTTCCAGTTTAAAGATGAGGAAATTAGGTACAGAGAAGTTAAGTGACTGACTTGTCAATGTCACACAGCTAACGCATTGCAGAGTGGGGGCCTTCTAACCCACAGTTCACCCTCTTAGCCTCTATGTGATCCTCTCTCTCAGGTGCTTGCCCTCAAGGATTTTAATATCTTTTAGGGGAGAAAGTTATCCAGATAACTTACATTTAACAGCTGTATGAATACCATACTAAAAAACAAGTTATTTTTTTTTCTTTCAATTTTGAGTTGTAAAGTTTTTCCCTGTTGTTTCAAAGCCATAGAAGCACATGGATAATAAAACAGCAGAGAGCTTTAAAGTGAAGATAGGGGAAAATGTGACAATTAAGATGGAATACTGTCTTTGGTAACAAGTATGGTGTACTGACTTGTGATAGGTTCAGATATTCTTTGAATAGGCTTAGTGATAGGGACTGCTCTTGTCAATAAACTACCTTCTGATTACTGTCCTGTATTATATGTTCACAACTTGAATCAAGTGGAACTTTTGGGAGAAATTGGCCTCTGAAGGCCTTGGCCCTGTTGACACCTGATGCCAGGGATCTGCTCAACATCAAATTACCATTTTCCAAGTAGGCAGGGCATATTTTCCAGTCTCCAGGCTAAGAAATCAGACTTCAGCTTTGCAAAGCATTGCAAAATCTCACCTAATCATAAAATTTCTAGAGCCTAACGAGCTTTCCTGTGCTGCTTTTATAGAGGATCAGATGGAGGCAAAGGGTCAGGTCAATCAGTGAGTGAGTGGCAGACTTAAATAATACATAGGCTCTAAGGTCGGCCGAGTGGCTCAGTTGGTTAAGAGCTCTCTCAAGAGTGCGAGCTCTGAGCAACGGGGTCCCTGGTTCCATTCACTGCCTGAGCTGAACTGCTGCTGAGCTGCCAACAGGTGGCAGGATGGCTCCGCTAAAAAAAAAAAAAAAAGATAATATATAGGCTCTATGATAGCTAGCTTTTTTTTTTTTGCTCATGAGGTCTTGGTAACCCTCATCAGCCCCAAGAGAACAGTGGTTGTTGGGGAGCTGGGCTGACCCAAGAAGAGAAACTAGGGTAAGTGGGGAGGTTAGGGGAGGACTAGGTCATTGGTAATGGTAGGACAAAATCTCCCTCAAGACACACATTATCTTTTATATATCTTTGTATCTCCCTTGGTTCTTGGCATAGATTCAATGAATGTTTTGAATGAGTGGCTGAATATTGAACTCATTTACTTTCCATTCTCAGCCATGAATAACCCTAGAAGTGACCCATGAATGAATGAGAGTAGTTTTGGGACTCAGGAATGCCTTAGGACTGAAATGAAATGGCATGTGGAAATACTTTGAAAATATCAAAAATTCTCTTTTTTTAAATTTTTAAATTATTAGTTTCATGTGTACAGAGCAATACAATAGTTATCTATTTCACCCCTCACAAAGTAACAACCCCCCCATCCACTGCCCTCCCAAACCTTTTCTTTAAATGCAAAGAATTATTCATACACATTTTTGATTGCATGCCTGAGCACATCTTGCATGCTCTCTCTTCCTTAGCTTTTGTTCATATTACTCCCTCCATCTCACATGCCTTTCCCTTCCGTTTTGAGCCCTGTAGGAAGACATGATCTCCTTTGATCCTTCCAAGAACTTTGGACTTGCCTTACTCTGCTTTGTAGTGTTACTTGTTGATTTTTCTTGTATCCAAGTGTGTGACCTATTCCATTTTGATTCTTCAGATGCTCCTAACGACTGTGCCTCTGAGACTCAGCCCTCCATACATGGTTGTATTTGTTGAATTAAAGTGGCATCTTAACAATCAGCACCACCTGGATTGAGGATTTCCATTCCCAGTTTTGCTTTCTGCTATTTGCAAGAAGTAGCTTCAGGGAGTTGTGGAAGCAGTTCTGAAATTAAAATGAGCTATAGACCCTTCTTCCTCTGGAGGCTGGAAGAATGTTTATGGAGTCTGCTGGGATTAGGTGCTGGGTCCTGTGGGGGCACAGATGATGGGGCAGAGCATGAATGCATAAGTGATGGAGTTAGCTGAACTTGACTGATAGAGTTCCCAATTTAGAAGCAAAGGAAAGAAGTATGGAGTAACATTAGGAATCCTGGGGATGGTGGGGTACCTTCCATGAGCCCCTGGGAATCTGCATGGAGAGCAGTGGAGGTCTCAGTTCCGGGTGGTGGTGGTGGTGGGGGAGTCTCACAGGATGTTGTGCTGAATAGGATGCCAGTGTTTTCTGTATAACATAGCATCTAAACAAGTTACTACTGTACTGTATAGTATTTTAGACAGTTTAAGGGAAACTCAAGGGTGACTTTGTGTGAAATTTTTGCTGGACATGCAGACTTAGAAATAACTTTCCTGTAAGATATGACTGGACTATAGCAAATTAAAAAAAAATTTTTCCAGCTACATTAAGGATCAATTAGGCTTATGTGAACTAGGCTTGGAGTTGAGTAGTAAGTTTATAACTACAATTTAAGTGGGAAAATGGATTCTAAGTTTTAAATACCTGAATTGGAAACAACTTTTGAAGGATCTTCTGTAAGTAAAAGACTTGGTAAATAAATTCATAGTAGATGCCCACGTATAACCGTTATACTCCAAGCTCTTTGGATTAGTGTGTTTTTATGTTTTTGATGTTCAAAAGACAAAGTATGTTTTTTAAAAAATATTTTATTGGGGAATTGGGGGAGGGGAACAGTGTTGGGAAATTGGGGAAGGGGAACAGACAAGTTGCTGTCCTTTTGTTCTTCAGTCTAGTTGTGGAGGACGTCGCTTCACTGGCCCATGTTGGTATTATCATTGCACTCTTTCCGGGTGAGTTGCTCGCCGGCCACTGAACGGCCGCTCACGGTGGCTCATGAAAGCGCACGCCAGCTGCCTGCCAGCACCACTGCAGCCTACGCCATCGCTGGTGACTCACGGCAGCCCAGCTCCAGGTCGAGCTGTTGTTCACCATCTTAGCTATAGAGGGCACAGCATCACTGGCCCATGTGGGATCTGAACTGGGGCCCTGCTGCTCAGAGCTTGCACTCCCTAGCCAACTCTTAACCAACGCCCCACTCGGCCCGCCCGAAAGTATGTTTTTCTCAGCACATAAATATTTTGTTTTCTTTCCTCTTAGTGATTTACCTTCGAGAAAATTTGGGAATTCAGAAAGTTGGGAACTCATATGAACATGGCGAACCTACTGAAAACTGTGGTGACTGGCTGTTCGTGTCCTTTACTTAGCAGTTTGGGGTCCTGTAAGGTTCTACCTGGGAAGAAGGATTTTTTACGAACATTTCATACTCATCAGGCGCTATGGTGTAAATCCTCTGTAAAACCAGGTAAAGTCTCACTTCAATGTATGTAAAGCAGACCTTCAAGTCATAGGAGTGAAGAGATCTGATGATTGATAAAAGGAAAAGCCACGCAGTTTTACAGGCTGGTGCTTATGAGGGATCATTCTGAGTAAAAAAAGCTAATGAGTTTTTTTGTTTTTGTTTTTTTACATTTCCCATATATAGAAGTTCTTGATTGTCAGAGCTAATAGAGAAGAAAAGATAATAGAAAAAGAAAAGTGGTAAGCCAATTGAGTTGTCCCCAGGAAACTACTACTCATAGTAACCATTTCCTCTTTCCTAGTTGGTACTGGGGAATTGTACCGTATATGGCTCATCTATGCTCAAGAATTAGGAACTAAGTGTGTTAATTAGTCTGCAGTAATGCTTCTCAATTTAGTAAATGGCAACTTCTCAGTTGCTCAGGTCAGAAGCCTTGGAGGCATCCTAGATCCTCAGAGTAGGTGTAGGTCATTTCTACCTTATATCAGAATCTGCCCTCTTCTCATCATCAGCACTGTTATCCTGGTCCAAACCACCATCACCTGTCACCTGGACTACTGTGTTAGTCTTCTAAATGATCTCTGTGCTTTCTACCTGTGTCCCTCTACAGTCTGTTCTGTATACAACAGTGAGAATAATCTTTTTAAAATGAAAGATCATGTCACTCATCTACTCAAAATTTGCCACTTGTTTCCTAGCTCATGTAGAATTAAGAGCTGAAATCTTTCAGTGGCCTCTCAGGCCTTCTCTGCTAGGACCGCCCTTGCTTCTGTTCTAGCATGCATGCCAGAAGAGGAGAGGCTAAAAGGAGGCCCTTCTAAGCTGAGTCAGATCCCTTTAAGCATCTTTCCCATAGACCCTCTTGCGCTCTGCCTATACTTCATTGGCCTGAACTCAAGACAGGTGGCCATATGCAGCTGTAAGGGAGACTTAGCCATTTAGTCTTTATTCCAGGTGACAATATATTCAACTAAAAGTGGCATTCTGTTACTAAGGTGGAGGAACAAGATGGACATTTGGGGGCAATCAGAAGTCTTGGTCACATGGTACAATGCCCTTTAAATTTAAGTTTGTAGGACTGTTTGCTGTGTATGAAGGACCCGTAACCTGCTAGGCTTTTTGAGTTCTTCTGTCTGCCTTTAGTAGATTTCACAGCCCCTTTTCTTGTTCTCACATGACAAGTCACGATTGGCAGGCTACCTTCCCCTGAGAGCCCTCAACTTTTTCTCCAGATTTCAAAAAAAAGTTTTCTAGAAAGCCAGATTATCCAATGTGATAAAATTGTGTAACAAAAGTAAATAACTACATCGAGGACATGGTTGTTTTCCTTGTGAGTAAATGCATGGACATCAAGCTCTGGTTATTGACTATGTTTAAGACTTGTTTAATTTCTGAGTCTGGACTATTTCGTAGGTAATTATTTTTTATTTTCAAAAGATAAGGATTTGGAGAATATAGTCAATAATGTTGTAAAAACTATGTATGGTATCAGATGGGTACTAGACTTATCGGGGGGATCGCTTCATAAATTAAAAATGCATAACCACTGTGCTGTACACCTGAAACTGATATAATATTGGATGTCAACTATACGTAGAAAAAACATTGCCACGGAATGTAAAGTACAGCATAGGGAATAAAGTCAGTGGTATTGGAACAGCTATGTACAGTGTCATATGGTAGTAGGTTTGTTGGGGTTATCACCGTGAGGTGTGTAAATGTCTAATCATCAGAAGCTAATTAAAAAAAAGATAAAGATTCTATTTTATCCTTAATTAAACCACAACTTCATTATCACATTGACTAGCATAAAAAGTAATTCCAGTCAGTATTCATATTTTCTCAATTTTTTTCTGCTTTTTTTACAGTTGCTTTGTTCAAATAATGATCCACACAAGGTTCACATGTTGTATTCGCTTGCTATGTCTTTAGGTCTCTTTTGAGCTATATGCTCCCCTCCTCTTTTTTATTTTTACTTTATTTGTTGAAGAATTTAGTTGTTGCCCTGTAGAATTTTTCACATCTAGGTTTGCCTGACTGAATTCTCTTGGTATTTTTATTTTTTATTTATTTATTTAATTTAATTTTTAAAGATTTTATTGGGGAATTGGGGGAGGGGAACAGTGTTGGGGAATCGGGGGAAGGGGAACAGACAAGTTGCTATCCTTTTGTTCTTCAGTCTAGTTGTGGAGGACGTTGCTTCACTGGCCCATGTTAGTATTATCATTGTGCTCTTCCCGGGTGAGGCAGATTGGTCGCCGGCCTCTGGATGGCCTCTCTCTCTGGCTCATGGCAGCTCATGATGGCTGCTGGCCACACACGGTATCTCACAGCAGCCCACTGCAGCAGGGGCTGCAGCCTATGCTGTCGCCAGTGGCTCACGGCAGCCCATCTCCAGGTCGAGCTGTTGTTCACCATCTTAGCTGTGGAGGGCAGTGTCACTGGCTGTCATGTGGGATCTGAACCGGGCCCTGCTGCTCTGAGCTGGCGTCCCAAGCCAGCTCTTAAGCAACGTGCCACTCAGCAGGCCCCTGTTGGTATTTTTAAACCAGTTTCTCTGTCACTTGTATTTTCAGTAACATTTAGCCAGATCTAGAGGCTTCATCAGAGTCAGGTTTAATTTTTTTTGGCAAGAATGCTTCATAGGTGATGCTATGTATTATCTATTGCATTATATCAAGATTGATCAGTGAGTTTAGATGTTGTCCATGTGATCCATCTATTATGAAGTTCCCATCAGTTTTTCACTCAAAGGCTGTAGCAGCAATTTGATTATTATTAACTAAATCCACGATTCTCAGGGGTTTTAAATTGGCGATATCTATCATTCTATCTTAATTTATTAGCTACAATTTTCTATAAAGAAAAACTTTCCCTCTATTTAGTTACCCCGAGAGCGTAATGGAAATGTGGGAAAAATGTTTCATTCTTTCCTGTTATTTACTACAATATAGTTTTGGTAATAATCAGTTGGCTCCCTTATGTATTTATTCCAGCTATAACAAATGACTACAGTCTTACTGGCTTCCTACGATACAACACAAACTTATTGTCATACCCTTCTGGAAGTCAGAGCCTGAAATGGCTCTCACTAGGCTTAAATGGAGGTATTGGCAGGGCTGCATTCCTTCCAGAGGCTCTAGGAGAGCCTTTTCCACTTTCTGGAGACCATCTGCATTTCTTGGCTTATGGCTGGCCCCTTCTTCCATCTTCAAAGTCAACAGCATAGCATCTTCAAATTCGTCTTTGACTCTGACTCTTCTGCCCTCTTCTTCACATTTAAGGACAACTCGTGGTTACATTGGGCCCGTTCAGATAATCCAGGATAATAATCTTCCCTATTCAGGGTCATCTGATTAGCAACCTTAATTCTATCTGTAATTTTAATTCTTCTTTGCCATGGATTGTAATGTATTCACAGGTTCTGAGGATTAGGATATGGATATCTTTGAGAGACCATTATTCTGCCTTCCACACATTACTTTCTCCAAAGTTGACCAACGAAGCTTTGAAAAAATATTTTTTTTGAGTAACATCATGAACTCATGGATTTTAACATTCTTGGATGTATTTTACTACATTGCAATTAATTATTATTCTTTTTGATGCTCAAATTGTCTCATAGTTTTCTAGTGGAAGCCCTTTCAGATGGCCTTCTAAATCCTTTTGATGTGACTTCATTTGTTTTTGGAACTTTCCTTGGCTTATAGTATGTAGGGCCCAGATAATTTGAGGTTGTTAGGTAAGTGAACTCTAGTTAAGTGTATGTGATTTAACTTTGTACATCAATCCAAAATATTTGCCAGCTTTCTATTATTTTCCTCCCTCTCCTTCAAGTAGAGAGTAAGATTGAGTATATATTTGCCTTTGGATTAATATCGACTTTTACTGCTTAAGTAGTGTGAGTTCTAAGACTGTTCAAATGCAGTTATTTTTAGGTTGACATACTCTCTCTAAGGTCTCAATAAGTTTACTCTGTAGAGATAATTCGATTTCTTTTTTTATTATGTATATCCATGGTTTATGTTGCTAGAGTAGATTTCCTAAACCTTAGTAAAACTTACATAGAAGCGGATCCTTTTTATTTAAAAAACCTGTTTATGCCCACTTTTTGTTTTTTGTTTTTTTTTTGTTTTTTTGTTTTTTTGTTTTAGCTGAGCCATCCTGGTACTTGTTGGCAGCTCAGCGGCTGCTCAGCTCGGGCTGGACTCGAACCGCTGTCGCTCAGAGCTCGCACTCTTGAGCGAGCTCTTAACCAACTGAGCCACTCGGCCGGCCCAATGCCCACTTTTTGAATAAAACAACAGAAGAAAGTAATGTACTTCAGCTAAAGCTGGTCTGAACCATGTATAAATACTTTAACGCTATTGAACAGGCTTTTTTGGGTTGCTGGGAACAGAATCACATGGGGTTCTATTTTTTGATGAGGGCTTTTTGTATGGGCTTATTTTGGGAAGTATGGGAGCCCAAGAAACCCTTCACCTACTTCTTGGAGGAGTGGAATGCTTTTCTGGATTTCATAGCTATGACTCATCTTCTCTCCTTGCATCTCCGCTACCGTGGTGGCTTGCTGACCTCCCTTTGATTACCTTATGGCTGTGCTCACCAACAGCTGCTGTACCATCCTCCTTTCTCTGGCCTATTCTTTCTGTGAATCTTCCATTCAAACTTCCTGAGAGAGGACCTGACTGGGGTGGGTAGTCACTGGCCAGCATTGAATGTCCTGGGGCAAAATTCCCATGTAAGTCATCTCATAGGCTGCTGGTTTTCCTCATGCCTGGCCTGTAGACTTTTATTTTTGACCCTGCTGCTTATCCCTGGTCTAATTAGTTATGGCCAAGAATGTAAGGTCTCAAGATTCAACACTTGGAAATCTATGAAGCCAAAGTGCCAGGAAGGGGACTTAGGGTGTGGCAGGCTATTGGAGTGTCTAATGTAGGGGTATTCTTCAAAACAGCTAGTTACTCCTGTCTTCCTTAAAAGTAAGGACAAGGAGAACATAAACCAGAGAGGATTATTTTGAAGAATGTGGTTAGCATGTTGAGTGAGCTCTCAACCCATTTTTTTTTTTCTAAGAATAAACTAAGCTAGTCATGTGCCTTGAAGAGAGCCATTTGGTTAATTAAAGGATTTAGAATTTTCAGGAGAGAAGGCATACAAACTTCTTATCTATCCAAAAAAAGTCAAAGAATTATGATTATGAATCAGAATCATTTTGAATAGTAACTTGTATGTACAGTATATTTTGAACAGATTTTCTGAACTCTGTTATTAAAACTGTTTTTTTTACCAAATGTCCTTTTTTTTTTTTTTGCCTTTGTTTGTAGGAATTCCATATAAGCAACTGACTGTTGGAGTCCCCAAGGAGATTTTCCAAAATGAGAAGCGAGTGGCATTGTCTCCTGCTGGCGTTCAGGCCTTGGTCAAGCAGGGCTTTAACGTTGTGGTGGAATCGGGTGCTGGTGAAGCTTCCAAGTTTTCCGATGATCACTACAGAGCGGCAGGTGCCCAAATCCAAGGGGCGAAGGAAGTGCTGGCTTCTGATTTGGTGGTCAAAGTAATTATTCCTTTCTCCCTCTTGTTAATGGCATGCTGACTTTTCAAAATCTTTTCATAGAAAAATTAAATGATTGTTGCTATAGCTTTTCACATTTTCAAACGATGCTTTTTTCTCAAAGAAATGCTTGCTTTTTGTGAATATTCTTCACATTCCAGTAGAAATTTTATCAGGTTATAAGATCTTTTTTTAACCATGAGAAGAGATAAAGTGACCTTCCTTTTTACATTTGCTATGTGGAAACTGTTTTAATTGGCTAGGGAAAATTTGTACTACATGGTTCATATGTATCCAAAATACCCACAGGTGAGTATTTAATTGCTATTAAAAATAGAAAGCGTGCAGCTCCTCCTGGGACTGAATGTACAGTGATCTTTTGATGCCTACAAGGAAGAGTGGTTTAACTGACGCAAGTGCTATTTTTAGGGAGGGCAGGACTATTCTGGAGAAAGCAGCATTGGGCTGAGTGGCAAGTAGCTTTCCCTACTTTAATGAAAGGTCTTAATATATAATAGAAATCTGTATGCTGAAGAATTTAGAAATAAGTCTGGAGTACAAAATCACATAGAGAAAGGAAGAGAGACTGTCATGAGTCTAGCATAGATAATTACTAGACTTGAACATTAACTTAAATCCTAAGCCTTCTATAACCAAGGCAGACAGGGAATTGTGGGTTATATAAGCAAGGTCATCAGGTTAAAATAAGATCGCTTTTTTTTTTTTTTAAATAATATAAAGTCCACTGAATATCTTGATAGGATCTTAAATAGTGGTTTTTGGCAAGACACAAAACCATGCTTTTGCTATAGAAAATTGATAGTAAAATTTATGGTACGGAGATAAATTATCGTTTAGCTAAAGCTTTTAAAGTATACAGATACTTGGTGATATAACTTGGAAGAGTAAAAGAGCCTAGTGAAAATAGAAAAATAAGTATAACCTGTTCCAATGTGTGTTTTAGGGATCAAAACCTTTTGAGATATCACATAAAAAAGGTTTAGTAGGGTGCACATAAGTTTTCGAAATGCTCTGTGTTTTATTCAGAGGTTTACAATGTGTGTGAGCGTGTTAAAGGCACTGGGAAATCCTGTAATATAGAAACTTACGTAACTTTATACTTGCATTAATAAATTACTTGACCTTGGGGCCTCTCTTTTGAGTCAAGCTTATTAATATCCTGAGGGACTAATGATCTAAAAAGCACATTCGGGGAAACATTCTATTGGCTTAACTCACTCAGATGAGGACAGCCTCAGCTGAGCATTCGATAGGGGCCAGTAGAATCAATTCAAAGTGGTCCTGTAATTTTTATTAACTATATATTATAGATTCTCACTGAGTAAAGGTAGATCTTGTCAGAGAGTCTTAAATAAAATCCAGAACTTAAAATCACATGTATAACCAGGTCAACAACCGAAATGGGAATAACAGATAAAGGTATCTCTTAAGTAAATTGAGATGATATGCCGTGAAATGAAAGTATTGACCAAGTGTTTGTATTTCCTTTTAAAACTTAAGTCCCAGAGCTGTTTTTTTCTGTGCTTACTTGCCTTAAAGCACTTCTGTGAACTGGGAGCTAATGAAATGATATACTTTCATTGAAGACTGATTTAAACTTGGATATAAAACACATTTTAAAACACTTTTAGAATGGAATTTTAAGAATTTGGCTTTAAAACAAGGACATTTGAAACTTGCAAGCATGTGGAGTGTGTATTCATCGACTTGGTACTTAACAGTATATTGTAACTTTTTGCTTAAAAGCAATTCAGCAAGGCTCCTGTTATGATTGTGTTCATTGATGAATATTCATCTGGAATTTTAAGGTGACATAAATCTATACATAAAACCATGGAGATTTTAGTTTATAATATTCTTAACTTCTCAACACTCCAAATGTTCGTGCTTGTCAAAATTAGCAAGAGTGGAATCTTTGAATACACAACAAAAACTTGCCGTCTGTTTATTCTAGTGTCTCTTAACTGTACCAGTGTAATAGGTTTTGGGAGGACAGATTTGTTGTAGAGCCCACATAGTTTTTCCACTGTTCTACAGTTCATTGTCAAAGCTGTTCTGACATTATTTTCAGTTGTACGTGCTCTTTACTCAGACCAGTGCATAGCTCATCAAAGGATAAATGGCATAGATCTTCGTGTCCTTACCCTGTTTAGGAATTTTGTCAGAAATTTATTGCTGAAAGATTACTTCTGGAGTATTATTTCAACAATGGCATATTATTTAAATTGTCCTGTTTATGTAAAAATATGGGAAGTGTATTTATATTTTTAATCGGTGACCTGACTTTTTTCTTAGGTACGAGCCCCCATGCTTAATCCAACGTTAGATATTCATGAAGCTGACCTTTTAAAGACATCGGGAACACTGATTAGTTTTATTTATCCAGCCCAAAATCCAGACTTGCTAAATAAACTTTCCAAAAGAAAAACTACAGTTTTGGCTATGGATCAGGTTCCAAGAGTCACCATTGCGCAGGGATATGACGCGCTAAGCTCTATGGCCAACATTGCTGGGTAGGTTCTTTTCTATTTCCGTTGAACAAAAAAATGGTACAACAGAAGCATGCTCACAGTAGCTCTTCTCTCTTACGATGATTTTACTTGTAATAATTGTTGGAGGTTGCAGCCTTTTGAGAGTGCACTTAAATTATTTTTAAGACTCCCTGTTTCACTGTCATCTGATAGGAAATAGTTGTTCATATTGTACTCTGTTGTATGCTCCTTTTTAATCTTTGTGGGTAGTAGTAGTTCCTTCCAGCAAAGGAAATGACTGTCAGATTATTTGAATGAGGAATATACTGTATTTCATATATGTGTGTGTGCATGTATATATTAGGTTCAAATCGCTGGTTTTTTTTTTCCAGTTTTTATTGAGATATAATTGACATATAACATTGTGTAAGTTTAAGGTGTAAACATAACGATTTGATACATGTATATATTGTGAAATGATTACCACAATAAGTTAACATTAATTGCTGTTTTTAATAGGTCAAAAATGGTTGGATAGTGGCAGTTTCATATGGTTCAATCTAATATACAAATATTAGCAGATTTACCATTTTAATTAGGTTTTAGGTAAATTCATAAAATATTTAATGAATAGGGAAAATATCTGCATTTGAAGAAGTTTCTTCTGGTGTCAAAACCTATATTGGGCCGGCCGAGTGGCGTGATGGTTAAGAGCTGGCTTGGGACGCCAGAGGGCCCCGGTTCGGATCCCACATATGAGGGCCAGTGACACTGCCCTCTACAGCTAAGATGCTGAACAACAGCTCAACCTGGAGCTGGGCTGCCGTGAGTCTCTGGGAATGGCGAAGGCTGCAGCCCCTGCTGCAGTATGTTGCCATGGGCTACCGTGTGTAGCCAGCAGCCAGCGTGAGCGGCTAGCAGCCGCCATGAGCGGCCGTCCAGAAGCCGGCGACTGATCTGCCTTGCTCGGGAAGAGCGTAATGATGGTGTCAACTTGGGCCAGTGAAGCAACATCCTCCACAACTAGACTGAAGAACAAAAGGACAGCAACTTGTTTGTTCCCCTTTCCCCAATTCCCCAGCGCTGTTCCCATCCCCTAATTTCCCAATAAAAAAAAAATCTTTAAAAACAAAACAAAAACAAAAACAAAAACAAAAAACCTATATTGATAACTGAGGGCTGACTATGTCCTCTTACCTTTAAGGCCAAGATGGCAATAAACTTCCTTTGCCCACCAGCACTAATGCATTCCCTGTTTATTTCCTGGAGTGCTACACTGTTAACAGTTCTAAGGCCCAGCCTGCTCCGAGGAATGTGGCTATCATGCCACATTGAGTAATCATGCCTGCCACAGGGGAGGGATAGGGATAGCGATATGAGTGCAGTGTGTTGCTGACTGTGCCTAGAGAGTGCGAAAAATCTGGAAATCAGATAGTGCTTATGAAATCAGCTCATTTAAAAAGCTAGTTGAATTAGATTTTTTAAAATTAAAACTTATTGGGGTTGAATTAGATTTTTAGTACAAAAACAATTTGTAGTGACATTTGCTAATATGAATGAGGCACCAACAAGTGAAAATATTTTAAAAATAAAACAGTGCATGAAAAAAGACTAACCTAAGTAAAGCCTTTTATGGCCTGACACTGGAGCTGAAAGTTTCCTTAGGTTTTCTAGATTAGGTATAGCACATTAAATATGCCAAAGATTCTACTTTGGGTTTCAGCTGTTCACTTTGGATATAAATGAGATGGGCAATAAATAAAAATGACAAGGTAAAAACACAGTTTGTTGTCCTTAATGTAATATGGCAAATGGTTGGTTTGAAGAGTTTTTTGTGTGTGACATAAATTGCAAGGGACAAAATAAATTTTTGCCATATTTACTTAGTTTGTAGAAGAGTTATATTATGCAGTGTGGGACTTAAAATTTTATATAGAAGATGTACAGTGTTAACTTTTAAGAGTGCTGTTGATTTTGTCTTGTGAAATGCACATCTGTGAAAGGTTATCAGAATCAGTAGCTCTAGACCAGTGGTTTTTAGCTGCAGAATCTTTCTGAGCAAATTAAATGTTATGAGGCAATACAAACAAATCGACTAGGAGCAGAGTGGCCTTAGTTAAATTGAGGAATGGAGTGGTGTTGGAAACATGTCTATTCTCTACCCTGCCTACCATGACCCCAGAGGTGGCTGAAATTTGAACTAATACACACAGTCATATTACCGTGAAGATGTGCTCCTTCCAGTTCATTGCTGTTCATTGTTAGCTTTTTTGCTGTCGTTAAAAAAGGCCCACTTTTTCCCCACTATCAGTGTTTTTCGTGTACATTTCCTGTGTAACCAGCCTTGTTTTGTTATTTTTTTTTCAGTACAGCAACTGAATTTTTTAAAATGTTCATTCCCAAATTAATTTCTTAAACTGGCCTTTGAATCTTGGGTATGTTTGCTCTTTGAACATTTCTATCCCATGGATTAATAAATAAGACTAACAAATCATGTAATATCTAAAATACTGTTTTCCTGCTCTAATATTTTTTAACTTAAAGTAATAGTGGTAACTGTGATATGCTTTTGTACCAAATATTAAGTATTTTTTATAAAAATATGAGCAGGGAAAGGGTTTAGTGTCAGCAAGCAGGTAGATCTTATCATTAAATAGTTGTATTATAATATTAAGGTAGAGTGTATGTTACTGAGTGAGAATGTGCAAAAGTATAAAATGATTTGAAAATGAAATTAGTTAATATGTTAAAAATATCCTATTTAAGAAAAGATGGTATATTTTACTAGTTTTTGTTGCATAGAATGTTTGTTTAGCCAAAACCACTAATATTTACCAAACACTTATTGTGACAGGCTTTAGGTAAGCCCTTTACCTGTATTATCTCATTTGGTTCTGACAACACCACTAAGAGATGCTCTTTTTGTCCCCACTTTATACACAGGAAACTAAGGATTAGAGAATTAAAAGAAATTTGCCCATGGTCACAAAGCTAGTTAGTGTAGAACTAGGACTTGCACTGAGGTCAATCTATCTCAAAATCCCATGCTTTCAACCAGCAGAGATCAAGCAAATTTTTTTTGTTTTTTGTTCTGAGGTTGAAATTTTATCATGTACAAGCATATATAGCTAATCTATTTTTTTAATTTAAAAATTTTCCCCCTGTTATACAAATACAGTATTGTCATCAAGCAAAATTTGGACAATATAGTAAAGTAAAATAGAAAGTTTGAATTATCTGTAGTCCCAGTGCCCAAAGAAAACCATTCTTAGCATTTTCTTGTCTTTACTTCATTTCTTTTTAAATCACAACTGACTTTCTGCAGTATTTGTTATAAAGAGGCCAGGAAACATGGATAAGAGTGTGAATGCAGGATGCCAGAGTTAGACTTCTGGCTCTGACATTTATTAGCTGAGAGACCTTGGGCAAATCTCTTATCTCTCTGCATCTCAGTTTCCTCCCTTATAAAAATGAAAGTAATAATCGTACCTATCCATAGGATGGTTGTGAAGATTAAAGGCATAAGTATCTACATAGCACTTAGAACAGTTTTTGACACATAGTAGGTACTATATAAATGTTGGTTATTATTCTTATTCTTTGATGATTAAAGTGTGGTTGATGACATGATCTAGGAGCCTAAGCTTTCATTTTATGGAATTATTTATTTATATTTTTCTCTCTCTTTTTTTTTTTTCCAAGTTATAAGGCTGTTGTACTTGCAGCAAATCATTTTGGACGGTTTTTCACTGGTCAGATCACAGCTGCTGGAAAAGTCCCTCCAGCTAAGGTACGTAAAACTTCTACTGTTTCTTTGTAATATGAATCAATTAAAGGCAAGGATCTGTATGGTCCTAAAATACAGCATTTAAAAATTTTTGTTACATGTTAGGTTCACACTGATGACTTATGTGGCATATACAAATATATGGTGGAACCTCAGAGATGCTTAAGATTGCTTGAAGAAAGAAAATTTTGACATTTCTGGACATTCTAATTTTTTTTTAATGTTTTTGTCTTAACTTGAATTCTTAAAGGAATTTTGGATAACTTGTTCCGTGTAGTCTGTTTATTACTAATTTTTAAAAAAAGCTTCAAGATACCATTGAGCAAATTTCAAGTTTCCTAATGATTGCAACATATTGGTTCATAGAAAGGATTGTTTTGGTTTCCTCACTTTTTGTGAAATTTTGGGTCAAGAGGACAGAAAATGGGAGATGGTGTAATCAGGATATTTGGCATGGGGAAAGGGTGCAGTTTATTTAATCTGTATGGAGAGCAGTTGAAGAGAGGTAGGGATGGCTAGGTGAAAGAGTAGACTATGTTGTGACCCCTAACTACCTACATGAAATGACAATATAAGCAGATCGGCAAGGTATTATAGGAAACAGGACTTTAACTGTTGTCATCTCCCTGCAGAGTGTACTCTGTCTCTAGGAGACAGGTTTACTTGGCACTTCCTGCTTTTAAGTACATTGTCATTATAAACCCAGAGTTTTCACACAAAATAAATCACCTAGAAAAATGAAAAAAAAAAAAGATAATAACAGCTTTGAGAAATCCAGTTAATTGCTTTAAAAACAGGCCAGGTGAAGAAAATGACAAGTGGTTCAAGTGAAGACCAGAGTACTTACAAAAGTGTGAGTAAACGACAGGGAGCTGTGGTATGTGAAGTGATTACATTTTGACTTCTTTCTCAGGAAAGGGTCTCCCAGTCATGGTGGCCAGAAGTTGGAAGCTGTTCTTAAATTGACTAAATGCTTTGATGTACAAATCCACTCCTCACTTTTGGTTAGAATCTTTCTTGAAATATGTGCAAATTGAGTGGAAAGCTGTGAATATAAAGGATTAAAAAAGTGAAACAAAAGACAAGAAGCTTAAAGGAAGGCTTTATCATTAACTGATTTCCAGCCCTTCTCGCCTATCTGGAGAACGGGAGGTGGAGCTGAAAATCCAAGCTTCTAATCGTGGTATGGTCTTTCTGGTGACCAGCTCCATGCAAGAGACCACCAAGATTTGCCTCATTAGAACTAAAGACACTACTGTGACCCAGGAAATTCCAAGGAATTTAGTTTAGGAACCCTCTGTCAGGAACGGGGGTCAAAGACCAAACATTAGAACAAAAGAGGCTTTTGTTCTCACTTAGGAAATTACAAGGGTTTTGGGAGTTCTGTGCCAGGAACTGGGGTCAGATATATATATATATATGCGCGTGCGCGCACACACACACACACACACACACACACACACACACACACACACACTGGGGATGCCAAAAAAATGTATACACATTTTAAGAAATGTTATCTTAAAATGTATAGGCATTTTTTGGCACCCTCTGTACATTTTTTTTTTTTTAAAGATTTTATTGGGGAATTGGGGGAGGGGAACAGTGCTGGGGAATCGGGGGAAGAGGAACAGACAAGTTGCTGTTGTTTTTGTTCTTCAGTCTAGTTGTGGAGGACGTTGCTTCACTGGCCCAAGCTGGCACCATCATTGTGCTCTTCCCGGGCGAGGCAGATCAGTCGCTGGCCTCTGGACGGCCACTCACGGCGGCTGCTGGCTGCTCACGCTGGCTGCCGGTTTCACACGGTAGCTTATGGCAGGCCACTGCAGCAGGGGACTACAGCCTACACTGTCGCCAGTGACCCATGGCAGCCCAGCTCCAGGTTGAGCTGTTGTTCAGCATCTTAGCTGTAGAGGGCAGTGTCACTGGCCCTCATATGTGGGATCCAAACCGGGGCCCTCTGGCATCCCAAGCCAGTTCTTAACCAATGCGCCACTCGGCCGGCCTACCCTCTGTATATTTTTATTATCTCACAAAGATTTAAAAAAATCACCTGGCTGTTCTGTGGGAGATGGATAGTAGGGGGGAAGAGTGAAGGCAAGATCTGTTAGGAATTGGTTGCAAAAATAGTGCCCTGGGTAGGTGATAGAATAGAGATATAGAGAAGGGGCTGGATTGGGAGATCTTTGGGGGTCAACACCAATAGTATTTGGCTGATGGGTTGGTGGAGGGAATATTTGCAAAGGGGAGGACTCAGGATGACCTCCCTATTTCAGCTTGAACAGCTGTGTGCACAATAAGTGCCCTTTACTGAGATGGGGAAGCCAAGAGGAGGAACAGGTTACCTGCCTGGAAATGAAATCAAGAACATTCTGATGGTAGTTTCTTTCCCTTGACCTTTTCCCTACTCTTTTTGAGTACATGTCTCCAGTGTGATAGTTAGCGGTCAGCCTTTTTGAGTCCATCATTTAATGTAACAACCTTCTGGGAAGGTGTTTTGATTGCTTTATTGCAGCTCTAAGCGGCTTGCTGAAGGTCTCTCCCAGAACTAGCTGGTAGCAGAGTCAGGATTTGAACTTAAGCTCTCTTTGACTCTTTGTTGTGTTTTTTTTTTTTTTTTCTTCTAGCTGAGCCATCCTGCCACCTGTTGGCAGCTCAGCGGCTGCTCAGCTCAGGCCGGGACTTGAACCGCTGTTGCTCAGAGCTCGCACTCTTGAGCGAGCTCTTCGAGCGAGCTCTTAACTAACTGAGCCACTCGGCCGACCCAGCTCTCTTTGACTCTTAATCTCGGTGTCTTTTTTCTTCATATCATGTTGCAGAGAAAGAGTAAATTCCTTTTGTAAGATTACATTGCTTTATTCTTATGCCATTCTCTCTTTTAAATTATGGGGTCTTCTGTTATTTCTCGACTCCTAGTCCTGTTATTTTACTTATTTCATTGTTTTAGCAGTGGTCTGGCTTCCGTGTGTGGAGCAGGGTTAGTGCCTTGGAGCCCAGAGCCTGCTCTGTTCCCTTTGGTCCTTCTTTGTCCCCTTTCCTGTAGACTCCCCCATACCCCCAAACAAACCATCACCATCAAGAGCAATTAATAGGATTTCTGAGACACTGCCTGGGGCTGGGGGGGTGGGGGTGGGGTCACTGGGGCACAGTTAGACTAGTCTAGTGTTAAAGAGGCAGAAGGAGGTGTGAGCATTAGGGGTGGGTAGGAATTTATAAACTGTACTGTATCTGTGGGTGGCTTTTTTTTTTTTTTTTAAACAGCAACAAGGAGTTGCCTTCAATTGACTGGGAAGTACAATAGGACTTTTCTCTGATGGTCCCCCATTTCAGACTGGAGAAAACATTGTTCTTATTTTGTTTCTTAGAAGGCGGGTAGGACTCTTGTTTCTGAGGAATTCTTTGGTTTTCTTGGCTCTGATCCTTCCATGGTTAGGGAGATTAAATACATTGCTTTGGATTTCAGGTACAGTTCATTCAGAATGGTTCAAAATTATGTGATTGGCCACCTGCTGTTCCTTTCAGAAGTATGTGAGCTCAATAAATAAGAAGGAAATCGTACCATTTGCAATGATATGGATGGACCTAGAGAACATTATACAAAGTGAAATAAGTCAGTCAGAGAAAGACAAATACCATATGATCTCACTTATACGTGGATTCTAAAAAACTGAATAAATGAGAAATGTAAACAGAAATATCCTCAGAGACGCAGAGGAAAAACTAATGGATGCTAGTTGGGAGGGGGTGGGGATGAAGGAGAAGGGGAAGGGACGAAACGATACAAATTGGTAACTACAATCTGGCCTCGGGGATAGAAAAGACAGTCTGGGGAATATAATCAATAATGTAGTAAATATTTTTTAGGGGGCCAGATGGACTCATGTCTTGTTAGGGAGACCATTTCATAGATGCTGTAGAGGCCTGACCACAGCACTGTATATCTGAAGCTGATGTTGAATAATATTGTATGTCAACTAGAATCTTTTTTTTTTAAAAGATTTTATTGGGGAATTGAGAGAACAGCGCTGGGGAATCGGGGGAAGGGGAACAGACAAGTTGCTGTCCTTTTGTTCTTCAGTCTAATTGTGGAGGACGTTGCTTCACTGGCCCATGTTGGTATTATCATTGTGCTCTTCCTGGGTGAGGCAGATAGGTCACCGGCTTCTGGATGGCCGCTCATGGCGGCACTTGGCAGCTCACACCATCTGCCAGCCGCTCACGCTGGCTGCCGACCACATACGGTAGCTTATGGCAACCCACTGCAGCAGGGGCTGCAGCCTATGCCATCGCTGGCGACTCACGGCAGCCCAGCTCCAGGTTGAGCTGTCACTGACCCTCATATGTGGGACCCGAACCGGGACCTCTGGCGTCCCAAGCCAGCTCTTAACCAACGTGCCACTCGGCCGGCCCTAGATTTTTTTCTTTTTACTTGCATTTCTCGCAAGTGATGAGGAGTTGTATGAATTTTATGATGAATAAAATTTGAGTTCCTTTATGTAATAAATTTTTTTCAAATTTCAGGCCCCAAAATTAAGGTGTGTCTTATACATGGGAGCATCTTATACATGGGGAAATACAGTATATAGTCACGGGATGTGGAGTAGAGTATGGGAATGGAGCCAATGGAATTGTAATAGATATGTATGATATCAGGGGCGGGGTGGGGGACAGTGGGTCGGGTGAGGGGGTTCTCACTTTGTGAGGGGTGAAATGGATAACTATTGCATTGTTTTGTACACCTGAAACTCATATAAAAAGAACAACAAAAACCAAAAAAAAACAAACCCCAAAAACAAAGAAGTATGTGAGCTCAAAATAGAGTTTGGAGTAGATGTTTCACCAAAGTTGTACCCATCTTTGAAACTTATCTGTGAACACAGTAAAACCTTAAAATTTGAGAGGGGAAAGGTAGCTAGAATGCTACACTGGGAATGTTAGTAGAAGCAGCTTTTATATACTGTGAAAGAGCCTGTTAATCATTAACATAACATAAACACTGAACAGTTATACATAGCTTTTACACTGATTGTCAGGCTATTTTTAGTGACGGTCTTTGCTAGCAGTTGTAACTTGGATAAATTTTGAAAAACAGTGGCAGTTCAGTTAAAGAGTAGTCTGTCCAGTCAGTACATTGAGTGCGGGCTCATCACCACCACCAGTACCACCTGGTATATTATTGGCTGCTAATTGTGTACTAGGCATAGGTGGTTGTTAGCTGATGATTTTTAATAATCAGTTGATAATGAACTTTATTGAAAACATACCGGTTCTGTTTTTTCCCCTAGATTCTGATTGTTGGTGGTGGTGTTGCTGGGCTGGCCTCCGCAGGTGCAGCCAAGTCAATGGGTGCAATTGTTCGAGGTTTTGACACGAGGTGAGTGCCTTGCTAGTGATTACTGTTAAGGGAAAAACACTTTGTTTCAGGTGGATGTTATGCTTTGCATAGAATTTATAAATTGAAATAGCACATTGAAAACTGCTCTATAAACTCTTTCCATTTAAAAATGTTTCCACTTTTTCAAAGTTAACTCAAAGTGCAAAGATATTACTTAGTGGAAAAAATTTAAGGACCCAGACTCAATATAGCAGAAATAATAAAAACCAACAGCAAAAGAATTGGAAACTAATATCTCATGCTCAGTTTTGTTTCTTCATGTGGATTAGCATTCGTTGGAAGGAATATGACTTTTCAGAGTAAAGAATCTTCCATAGAATGGTGTTAACAGAGCTTTCCTGGAGTTTAGGGACGTGTTGTACTGATAAAAAGCTATCCTGCTAAATTGAGAAAAGGTATTTCTGAAGTAACCAGGACACAAGCCAAGGAAAACCAGAGTTAAGAATGCCATTAGTCCTATCTTTTAAATTTTTTTTTTTTTAAGCTGAGCCATCCTGCCACCTGTTGGCAGCTTAATGGCTGCTCAGCTCGGGCCGGGAATCGAACCGCTGTTGCTCAGAGCTCAAACTCTTGAGCGAGCTCTTAACCAACTGAGCCACTCGGCCGGCCCTTCCTATCTTTTAATTTTTAATGTTGCAGATGTGAAGTTTTAGAAGACTTCCAAGCCTAGAGAAAGCAAGTTGTTTAAATTGTCATTGTAGTGGACATAGCCTTGAAGTGGAAACATATACTATATTTGAGTTAGAGATGATTTGAAACTTGGTGTTGGGTTAACTACTGAGAATTTAAGTTAATTAATGTCATTGATTTAGATTTTGTGTAAACAGGTAGAATATAGTTGTTGCTTAAATCCATTTTTATTTACCTTTATTAAGATAACTCAAGTACACAATGAAGAAAGATGTGGCTGAACTAATATAATTTCTAAGAAATATAGCTCATTAACTTTTGAGACTGGGAGCTGGTATCATATAAACATGTAATCCAAATATATTAAAAAACACACTTGATTATAAATTCTTTTTGGAATCCTGAATGGTATATGTTTTTCAGTTAAACATCCAAAAACCTCCAAACATCTAAAAAGGACAACTCATTGCCCAGTGACATTAATAGGGTGTGATTTTTGAATTCTTTCCAATAACTAGGAGATGCCCCTTATAACAATAGTATCTTGCCTAATGCCTGTATTACAAAGTTTAGAAATCTAAAAGCTTTACTTTCTTTTTTTTCTTTCTTTCTTTCTTTCTTTCTTTCTTTCTTTCTTTCTTTCTTTCTTTCTTTCTTTCTTTCTGAGTGTTTCAATAAAGGCTTTATTTACAAAAATAATTGGCAGGTCAAGAGCTGTTCAGACTCTGGTATTAAATGCTTACTCTCTTCCAGACATTGTGCTATATGCTTTGTTTTATTCTTTATGATAATTCTATGAAGTAAGATTAATTAGCCCTTTATATTTTAAATAATATAAAAAGAAATATATATTACTTTTATCAGTTATCTACTTTGCTTTCTTTCTGATCATAAAAAAATACATGCTGTTCCTCCAATGCAGAAAAAAAGAAAAAAGTACAAAAAATGAAAATAAAATACCATAAAATCCTACCACCTAGAGATAACTATTAACCTTCTAGTATATGTTCCCTTTTCTATACATTAATTAAAAATGTAATTTTATTAATAGTACTATATAACTTTTTAAACAGTAGATCATGAAGGTCTTTACCTATAAATATATATATAT